AAGGGGAAAGAGGAGGCCAGCTTTTCTGTAAGGAGCGACACAGTATCTCAGGCTTTGCCAGCCACGCGATGTTACCGACACCCGACCGCAGGTTGGTGCAAAAGCTGCCGCGCAGGACATGAAGGTAAGTAAGTGTGCTTACGTCCCAAGAAACTTATTTATGGCCATGAACACCTGAAGTTCAAGATAAGGCTATGCGTACGATATTATTCTTTTCGATTTTTCCTCCCAAGCTTTAAAACAATGTAATCCTTTGCCTGTGGTCCTAGCTGGGTAGTGAGTCGGGCCTGGCCCACGGGCCACAGTTCACGGGTTCCTGCCTAAAAAGAACACGCTGGCGTGTGTCCATCACAGGACCCCACACTGGAGCTGTGTCCATCACGGGACCATCCTGGCTCAGAAGTGAGGAGCAGACTGGAAGGAAACCGGCCTGGACCATGGGCGCCAAGGTGGAAGTCGCAGGAGGCTAAACCCAGACCGAGGCGGCAGCACTGCGGGAGACCGAGTCCAGACACCAAGCCAGCGAGTGGGCTCGATGGCCACGCCCGACTGCAGGGTCGAGGAACGGGAAGGGCGGCTTTGTCAACAACCGGGTGGGTGGGGCTGCATGCCCAGGGACGGGATCACGAGGAAGGGGAGCCGCCCTCCGTACAGATGAAGACACCCCCCTGCATTTAAGAACACGACTTCTCTGTATGAATGGCATGTCCCGCAAACGTGCCATGGACGACGGTGGTGGCCAGCCTTCCCCATGGGCCCGCCTAGCAGCAGATGCCCCGGGCACTGTCACTTCACCCCACCCTGTGACGGGACGCGTCTCGCTTGGCACAGACACGGGCACCAGCAGCCACCTCTAAAGCCGCTGGAACGAGCACTTGGAAGGTAGAACGAGCGGTGCCACCCAGTGACGTTCGGTGGCTGCTTCGCCGACCCCGGAAGGGCGTCAGGGAGGCGCTCAGTAACCACTTTCCTTTAGGGCTTCTCAGGTACACCCCGGGTGAGACACAGGCCCAGCCCTGCGGCCTCATCTAGTGGGTCTGGGCGGAGCACGGTTCAACCCCGGCCCTTGGGGCTCCAACACCCACTGGGGTGCACGAGAATGCCCACAATCCTGAGAGGTCGGGCGGCCTCAGGACCGTGCGGCACTGCGGGGCTGGGTGCCCTCTCCGCAGTCTCTGGCGGAGAAAAGCAACGCGAGCATGCCCTTCCCCATCCGCCATGCAGTCCGACGCTGAGCGACGGACACAGCATGGAGCCCCAGCCCTCCCTGAGACGCAGAGGCCCGACTGCCGCCCGGTCCAGGGCCGCGCTGGCCACCCGCACCACCTCGTGCGCCAGCCAGAGGACGTGAAAACTGTCCAAGCTGCTGCTCGCCCAAGCCCTCCAGGACAGAGTACTGAGTGCGCGGGGTGGGGAAGTTCTCGTCTGCTCATCACCCCGCTGCGCTCTCTGCAATCCAGAGTGGAAATGAGGCAGGGGAAGAGACCCACTTCCAAAACGTCTTCAGAATCTACGTGCCAAAGGGCAAAATTAAAGAAAACGCCGCTGCTTCCTTAGTGAGCTGGGTAAGGTCTTGCAGAACCGGTTGGGTCCAGTCCACTGTGTACACAGGGAGCTGAGTCCCCTGTGACCTGAGTCCCCTCCTGCCCTGCTGGAAATGAAGATACTAGGAACCACAGACTCCCAGCAGGCCCTGACGTGACTTCCTCCTTGCGTGTTTTAGAACTCTCTACACGAGGCCATAGATCTGCAACCCGACGTTGAGCACTGCCCTTAGTCCGCACCCGCAGGGTCGGCCTGGGGAGGGCTATTACACGTGAACTCGCACTGCCTCCGGGGCTTATGGGGTACTAAATACACAGGACAGTAACAAAACCTAACGCTCCTAAATGCATTCATACTTACAAGGCATTTATTACGCATTGTGCCTAATCATATTCATTCTTGGATAGCAAGTAGCTGATTTATTAAAAATAAAATAGGTATCTTTGTACTTTCCTACCCTCTCAGAAATCTCTCATAAAAACTTTTATGTAAAACTCCAATTGGTTATAGGCAATTAACTACTTAATTCAATCTGCAGCTGTATTAAAGTACCAAAAGCCGACACAAAATTACAATCTTAATTAATATTTATCCAAGTGGTTATATTTGAAAGTATACCTAATATTTTAACTGTTCACGATGAGGTAATCATTTCATTTCATGACTTTAACGGTTCAATGATTTAGAAAACACTATGACGCGCAGGACCGCGAGGCAAGGAGGCGAAGGTCCCTTTACCCCAGACACAGAGGTACACCGCCGGGCCGGGCCGGGCCAAGCCGCCAGCACTGCCCAGCGTCTGTGTGAGGGGACAGAGGGAGCAGGAAACACTGCAGCGCTAGCACGATCAGCACAGATGATGCGGAAAACGGCACGTGAGCCATTCACTGCACTGTTCAGCGAGGCCCTCCAGTGGTGCTGGGGACTCCTGGCAGGTGCCGAAGACAGCAAAAGGGAAGCAGGGCAGGGCAGGGCAGGGCAGGGCAGGGCAGGGCGCGGCTGGCCATCCAGTCTCACAGGGAGCGGGTGCGGGGCAGAGCCGGGAACGCGTTAACAGAGCTCGGGAGGAAAGGCCGGGAACTGGGAACTGCCAAGAGCACAGCCCTAAAGCTAGAGCGTAGGCCGGCACAGGCTGGAGACGGGTGTGGCTTGCAGGGCTCCAGCAGGCAGGTGCAAGCGACTCATCTTAATTCGGAATCCCTGCAGTGAACCAAGCTACTCTGCTCTCTCCTTGCGTGCGCGCTGCTTCCGTTCCCGCGAAGGTGAAGGGAAGTGAAGGGACACACCTGTCCCACAGCCTGTCCCACAGCCTGCCCCATGCTGTGTACGGGGCTCAGCCTTACACACCTTGCGTCCGCTTTAGGAAATTACCTGCCTCAATTTTGTTAAAGTGTGCTGTAGGGTGCATGTGTGTGCTGGAGAGACAAGGGGAGGTTGGGTGGAGACAGAGAGGCAGGGAGACACAGAGAGGGGAGAGGTAAAGAGAGGGGGGATACAGAGGGGGGAAACAGAGAGGGGGAGAAATAGAGAGACAGGGAAGGAGATTGGGGGAGATAGAGAGGGGGGTGGGGGAGATAGAGAGGGGGGAGGGGGAGAGAGAGGGGGAGACAGAGAGGGGAGAGACAGAGAGAGGGGAGAGACAGAGAGACAGGGAAGGAGACTGGGGGTGATAGAGAGAGGGGGAGACAGAGAGAGGGGAGAGACAGAGAGGGGGGAGGCAGAGAGGGGAAAGATAGAGAGACAGGGAAGGAGACTGGGGGAGATAGAGTGGAGACAGAGAGAGGGAAACACCCTCTGGGGGCCAGCCAGGCCACAAGCCCTCTCATCCATCCTGTTGGGATTTGGGGCACACACATACATGAGCCTGGCGTGCTTTTCAAACGACAGGACCCAGGACTCCATCAAGTGGCCCATGTGGGATTCAGCCGCTCTCACCACGCCGCCAGCTGGCCCCCTGCGCCTTTCATTCTGTTTTCATCACCAGAGGGCGCACTCGCGGCAGAGGAGGAAGCCCCTGCCCCCGTGGTGGCGCACTACAGGCCTGGCCCTCCTCCGCCCGCCTGCTGGGTCAGGTCTGGAGCATGTGCAGGAGCACCCAGCCAGGGCTGGGATTTGAGTGGCAGCTGGCCGCATGGGCTCTGGATCCCTCCACAGGCTGGACCGTGGCGGCCCTGTCCGTCTCACTTTAACATGACAGCGTGGACATGTGGGAGCAGTCTCCTACACACATTCAGAAACGTCACCCGAACACGAACCGAGTGACTTTCATGAGCACAGAAAAAAGAAACAACAAAAACCATGAAATAATACACCGGATCAACATTCTGCGCACCGAAATCCCGGGGCGAATCCCAAGTCCGGCACGGCTGCCGGGCTGTGTGCAGTTACTGGGCTCGGGGCCAAGTCCCTTCACAGGGACACGGAGCACTCCCCCAGGGCCTCGCCTCTCCCTCCACCACAGCCGACAAGCCTAAGCGGTCTGACCCTGGAGCGGGCCTGGGCGCTCACCAGCCTCGGGC